TCCTGCAACCTCTTCTTCTTCTTTCTCATTTGGGGTTTCTGATTATACAGACGTTAGCAGAATATATGGCGGTAGTAGCATCACGGTCGCTGGGAACGGAGGTATGCTGATCTCATCCATCTTCTCCTTTCTTTCTATTTTTTCGTTTCGTTAGGGGTTTAAATTTTTCGATTTTTTTGTGGAAAACAAAATTAAAGATGAATTGGGGCACGATATGCTGCTCAGCCTTCTCCTGTCTCCAGCTCTACTGGGCACGTATTGTCATTCGCAAATGGTTCAACGTTTCTTCCCTTGATTCCGATTATAGCGCAGATACTGACGACACTCTTTCCTGCAGCCAAGGTCCGATCCTTTCCGTAAAATTAAGTCGTAATTCGAATTTCATGTGACTGAAACTGAACCTGGTGAAGCAGATTTTGACCCCTGTAGCTCTGGAGTCACGAAAGATGATGATACAGATGGTAATGTGATTAAGTAACTCCCAGCTCTCAGTTGTCTATTCAGATTCCTTTTGCTTATAGACTAGAAACTTAATCTCAGATTGTCCTAAGCTTAGAAGATACAATTCAGAAACTTCCAGGGTTCAGTATATTGACACACAAGCAGTCAGGTCATTTCATTTCTCTGCTTTATCTTGCATCCTTAATTTTTCTACGACAATGCTGTACTACTTCAAACAAGTTCCATTTCTTTTCATTAATTGCTTAACTTTTCCATTACTGAGTCCCTGGGTTTTGATGTAGCCAGAATCTGTGCTGGGACATGGAATGTTGGAGGCAGAGTCCCACCGGCCGACTTGGATATCGATGGTTGGCTTGACACTCTTGAGCCTTCTGACATTTATGTTCTTGGGTATGTTCTTTCTCTGAATCTTTCTGCTTAACTACCATACCATGGTGAATGAATTCTGTGGTTCGTTTCATTTTCAGTCTTCAGGAAATAGTTCCCTTGAATGCTGGAAACATTTTTGGTATTGAGAATGACCAGCCTGCTTCTGTATGGGAGAACATCATACGTGATGCTTTAAACCGAGTTCGACCTAGAAAGCAGAAGATTTTAAGTCACAGTGATCCTCTCTCTCCGTCAATGTTTAAGCCATACAAAGACGTCTCTCACGACATGTTTGTTGAAACAAGACATGGTCCGTGTGATACATTTTTCTCTGGTGAAAGACCAATCATAAGTGAAGATTCAGTTACCAATATAGAAGTTTTGGATTCAACCAATAGCAATGCATCACCAAGTACGCCAGACCGCTGTCTCTCCATGCAACTGAATAGTGATTCCCAAAGAGAAGGAAGGCTTAGTTACACTGAAAGAGTTAGTCTGAGCTGGCCAGAGCCTCCATCAAAGCTGCTCAATCAAAACGTTTTGGAAAGACTTGGTGACTGCAAGTCGCTGAACCTGGGTATCATGAATCTTAGAAAACCAGCCTATGTAAGGATCGTGAGCAAACAGATGGTTGGAGTCTTCATCACCATCTGGGTTCGGAGGAGCTTGCGCAAGCACATAAGCAACCTTAGTGTGTCCACTGTTGGTGTTGGTATTATGGGATACATTGGTAACAAGGTCTTGATTTCTTTTAATAATTAGTTACTACTAATAATTTATTCCTAGGATAGCAATTACTTAACGGTTTCTTGTAGGGATCTGTATCTGTGAGCATGTCAATCTATCAAACACCGTTTTGTTTCCTGTGCTCACATCTGTCGTCAGGAGAAAAAGATACAGATCACCAGAAAAGAAACGATGATGTACGTGAAATTCACAGAAGAACGCTGTTTAATCCGCATTCTTCAAATGCCAATGTGCTTCCAAGAAGCATCCGTGATCACGAGTGCGTTTTATTTCTCATTTGGTACAATCTCTTTTAGTTTATGAACCTAACAAGATGAACTTTTGTAGAAGAGTAATCTGGCTGGGAGATCTGAACTNCCAGAAAAGAAACGATGATGTACGTGAAATTCACAGAAGAACGCTGTTTAATCCGCATTCTTCAAATGCCAATGTGCTTCCAAGAAGCATCCGTGATCACGAGTGCGTTTTATTTCTCATTTGGTACAATCTCTTTTAGTTTATGAACCTAACAAGATGAACTTTTGTAGAAGAGTAATCTGGCTGGGAGATCTGAACTATCGGATTAACTTGTCTTATGAGAAGACACACGAGCTTATTGCAAGAAAGGAATGGCAGAGGTTACTTGAAAATGACCAGGTGGTTTATAAATCACATAGTCCTAATGTTTATGTTTTTGAAGGTTACGTATGTATCAAACTTTTGATATCATGATATGTCTTATTATTTGGCAGCTTTCAAACGAAATGAGAAAAGGCAATGTCTTCGAGGGATGGTCAGAGGGGGATTTATGTTTTCCACCGACATACAAATACGAACTTGATTCAGAAAACTACATCGGAGATGACTCGGAATCAGGAAAACGTAGACCGGCCTGGTACTGTTTTCACATTTTACAACATATTTTTTGTTTTTACGCATAGAAAGGTCAAAAGTGAAATGTGTGTTGATCAGGTGTGACCGCGTCATTTGGAAAGGGAAGGGAATGAAGCTTCTTAGTTACAGAAGGAATGAGATTAAGCTATCGGATCACCGGCCTGTCACAGCCACCTTATTGGCCGAGGTTGAGGTTTTATCTCCATGGAAACTTCAGCGTGCGCTTGCACTCACTTATGCCGAGATCCAAAGCCATTAAGCTTGTAAGGTCGCCTAAAACCCTTTTTTAGGTCAGATAAAATTTGTACAAACTTCGTCTTGCGTAAGAGAATACCACATATTATTTGCAATTTGTATATCTTATAGTATTAAAATATAAGTCATGACTTCACTTAGAAATTTTATTAAATGAATTCTATTAAGATAATAATATATAGAATTTTTAAAAGATTTTAATCATAATATCTTTGATATTTTTCACTTTAAATATAAATATATTTATTCAAAAATTCTAACAAAATTTTTTTTTAAAAAAATTACAAGATTTTCATTTTCGATACTATCTTTAAATATTTCCACTAATTTTGAAAATATTTTAAAATATTATTATACATTAATATATGAGCTTGTTGCAAAAATAACTCAAAATTCCAAGTCAAACAAAATATTAATTTTTTTTAGATATTTCATTTGCCTAATCCACCCCAAAATTTTTGATTATTTACGAAAATGCCATAACTTTTTTTTTCGAAAATGAGTGTTTTACTCTCTCATCCTCATCTTCATCAATTAATCATAAAACTGTCATTGGCATCAATTCACCCAACAGCTATGAACAACCAAAATGAAGTTCTTAATGCATCTAAAAAATAAATTTATTCATTTATTTTTATATCTTATGCCCAAAAACTACATCTCTCACTTTCTAGCTATATTCATCCAAAAAAATCCAAACTTTTTGATTCTAAAGTTTTCAAGGTCATATAACCATTCAAACTCACGATTTCTGGTCATTAACGATTGAGTAGTTGTTCGGGTGAAGTTGTGTGTGCTTGGAGAAGTAAGCAAGATCTCTCAGTGGTTGTTGAAGGTATAAATTTATTTTTTCCCTGATTTTTCTCTAGAAGACTTAAGTGTAAGTCTTCTCTGTGTAGTAAAAAAATAGGTTAGTTTTGCAATTGACTTTTTGCGTGTTTTTTAGAGAAACCTATTGTGGAAATTTTTGAATTTTTTTTGTTGACAAAAAAAAGTTGATAAGACCTAGCTAGAGGTCTTCTCAGATAAACAAGTTAGTTTTGCAATTGACCAATTTGTGTCAGAAATTTGACTTTTAATGGAAGACTTCCAGATAAGTCTTCTTCCGGCGGAAGACTTACTTGGAAGTTTTCTGTAGAAAGTCAAATTTCTAACACAGATTGGTCAATTGCAAAAGTAACCCTGTTTATCCGAGAAGACTTCCAGATAAATATTCTCAGGTATTTTTGTGAATTTTTGTATTACAAAAGTAAGCCAATATTTACAAAGGAAAACTTCTCCGAAAGTTTACATTTGCAAATTTTCAATTACAAAATGATCTAAACAGAAGACTTACTTGGAAGTCTTCTCCCAAAAGATTTACCTAGAAGTCTTCTCCCGGAAAACTTACCTGGAAGTCTTCTCCCGGAAAACTTACCGGGAAGACTTCCATTATCGGGAAGACTTCCAGCTAAGTCTTCTATGACAATGTATAATAAATTTTCATTTTCTTGAAATTTAAAATGAATTATGTTTTAGACAATCTATGGGGTTTTGAATGAAATTCATAGCTTAATTTATGATAATTATGAAGTTATTAATATTTATTTTTTTAATGTTTCTAGTTAATGAGAGAAGACTTTTCTGGAAGTCTTCTATCGGATTAATTTTAATTTTTTGACCTTGATGTTTTATCTTTGCTAGTAT